TTGTTTTTGTTGGTTTTTTGTGGTGTGTTTTTGTGTGTTGTGTGGTTTGTTTTTGGGTGTTGTGGGGTTTGTGTTGGTGTGTTGGTGTTTGTTTGTTTTTTTTGTTTGTTGTTGTTTTTTGGTTTTTGTTGTTTTTGTGGTTTTTTTGTGGTTTGGTGGTGTTGTGTTTTTTGTGTTTTTTGTTTTTGGTTGTTGTTTTGGTTTGTGTTTGTTTTTGTGTGTTGGTTTTTGTGTGTGTTTTTGTGTTTTGTGGTGTGTTTGTGTTTGTTGGTTGTTTTTTTTTTGTTGTGGTTTGTTTGTTTGTGGTGTTTTTTGGTGTTTTTTTTTTTTGTGGTTGTTTGTGGTGTGTGTTTTGTTTGGTGTGGGTTGGTTTTTTTGTTGTTTGTGTTTTTGTTGTGTGTGTGTGTGTGTGTTTGGTTTGGTTTTGTGGTGGTTGTGTTTGTGTTTTTGTTTTGGGTTTTTTGTTGGTGTTTTTTGGTTTTTGTGGGTGTTGTGTGTTGTTTGTTTGTGTGTGTTTTTTTTGGTTGTGGTGTGTTGTTTTGTTGGGTTTGTTGGGTTGTGTTTTGTGTTGTTGTTGTTTGTGTTTGTGTGTGTTGTGGTGTTTTTGTTGTTTTGGTGTTTGGTTTTGTGTTTGGTTGGTTGGTGTGTTGTGTGTTGTTTTGTTTGTTGTTGTTGTGGTGTGGTTGTTTTTTTTTTGTTGTTTTGTTTTTGGTTGTGTGTGTGTTTTTTTTTTTTTTTTTTTTTGTGTTGTTGTTTTTTTTTTTTGTGTGTTTTTTTTTGTGTTGTTTTTGTTTTTTTTTGTGTTTTTTTTTGGTTTGGTGGTTTGGTTTTGTGTTGGTTGTTGGTGTTTTGTGTTGTGTGTTTTTTGTTGTTGGTTTTGTGGTTTTTGTTGTGTGTGTGGTGTTGTTGGTTGTTTGGGTTGTTTTGTTTTGTTGGGTTTTTGTGGTTGTTTTTTGTTTTTTGTTGTGTGTTGTGTGTGGTGGTGTGTGTTTTGGGTTTGTTTTGTTGTGTTGTTTTTTGGTTTTTTTGGTTTTGTTTGTTTGTTTGTTTGGGTTGGTTTTGTTTTTGTTTGGTGTTTTTTTTGTTTTGGGTGGTTGTTGTGGTTTGTGTTTGTGTGTGGTTTTGTGTGTTTGTTGGGTGTTTTTTTTTGTTGGGTGTTTGTGTGTTTTTTTGTTTTTTTTTGTTGGTTGTTTTTTGTGTGTTGTTTTGGTTGTTGTTGTGGTTGTTTTTGTTTTGTTGTGTTTGTTTTTTTTTTTTTTGTTTTGGTGGTGGTTTGTTTTTTTTTTTTTGTGTGGGTTTTTTGTTGTGTTTGTTTTTTTTGTTGTTTGTTGTTTTGTTTGTGTGGTGTTGTGTGTTTGTGTGTTGGTTTGTTGTTTTGTTGTTGTTTGTTGTTTTTGTTTTGTGTGTTTTTGTGTTTTTTGTTTTTTTTTGGTGTTTTTGGGTTTTGTTGTTTTTTGTTTGGGTTTTGGTTTTTGTGTGTTGTTGGTTTTGTGTTGTTTGTTGTTTTGTGTTGTGTTGTGGTTGTTTTTTTTGTTTGTGTTTTGTGTGTTTTTTGTTTGTGTGTTTTTTTGTGTTTTTGTTTTGGTTGGTTTTTGGTTGTGTTTGTGTTTGTTTTTGTGTTTGTTGTTTGTGTTTTTTTTTGGTGTTTTGTTTGGTGGTTTTTGTTTGTTGGTTTTGTTGGGTTTTTTGTGGGTTTTGGTGTTGGTTTTGTTTTTTGGTGGTGTTGTTTTTTTTTTGGTTTTTGTTTTTGTTTTTGTGTGGTGTTGTTTTTTTGTTTTGTTTTTTGGTTTGGTTTGTTTTGTTGTGTGTGTTTTTGTGTTTTTTGTGGTGTGTGTTGTGTTTTTTTTTTTTTTGTTGTTTTGGTTTTTTGTTGTTGTTTTTGTTTTGTGTTTTTTTTTGTTGTGTTGTTTGTTTGTGTTTTGTGTTGTGTGTTTTTGTTTGTGTTTTTTTTGGTTGTGTTGTTTTGTGTTTGTTGTTTTTTTGTGTGTTGTTTGTTGTTTTTTTGTGGTTTTTTTGTGTTTTGGTTTTGTAGTTAGTTTTTTTGTTTGTTGGAGTGGTTTGTCGTGTGGGATTGTAGGGTAGTTATTGGGTGCGATTGTTATTGTGTTTTTTTGGTTTGTGTTGTTGTGTTCGTGGTTGTTGTGATTTTTTGGTTTATTTGTTGTGTGTTTTGAGTTGTTATTGCGTCTGGTTTTGTGATTTTGTGTTGAATTGTTGGTGTGGGTGTTGTGTGATGGTTGTGATATGGGAGTTAATTTAATTTGGGTGTTTTGATAATTGTTTTTTTATTTGGTTGTGTTTTGTTTTGGTTTTATTGGTGTTGTGGTGAGTTGTTTTTTTGGTTTATTGGAGGTTGTTGGTGTCGTTTGTTTGTGGTTATTATTGTTGTAGAGCTTGGTTTTGTTTGTCTATGGGTTTGTTGTTTGTGTTTGGATTTGTGTGTGTTAGGAGTTGTGCGTGTGTGCTCTTGATTGTGTGGGTGGTGTGTTTGTGTTTTGTTTTGGGTAGTTTGGGTTGTTGTATAGGGTACTTGTGGTTTTATGGTTGGGTTTTATTTGTTGTTTTGTGTGGGTTTTTGTGTTGTTTTGATATTCTTGTGGGATTGTGTGTTTTTGTTGTTTGGTGTCGTTTTTGTGTGCTTAGTTGTGTTTGTTTTTTTTGTGTTGTTTTTTGGATGCAGGTTTTATTGTGGTGTGTGTTTGTGGTTTGTTTAGTGTAACGTGTTTTTTGTATTTGGGTTATGTTTGATGTTGTTTGGGTTTATGGTGTGTGTTATTGGGTTGTTTGTCGTTTTGTAATGTTTATGGCAAGTTTTGTTTGTTCTATTGTGTGTTTGTTAGTGTGGTTGGTTATATTGTTTTTATGTATTTTGCTTTTTGTTATTTTTTGTTGTTGTTTTTTTTATAGTTTATGTTTTTTGTGGGTTCTGGGTTGAGTTTTGTTTGTTTGTTGGTGTGCATGTTGTTTGGTTTAGTGTACTCTGTTTTGATTGTTTTTTTTAGGTCGTTTTATGTTTTGTTGTGTGAGTGGGTCGTTGTTTTTGTTGATTTTTGTGTACTTGAGCGGAGTCAATTGGGTTTCGTGTGTGTATGGTTTTTTGTTTTAATTGTGTATGTTTTTTTGTATGGGGTTTCTGTTCGTTTGATTGTGTTATGATGAAATGATGTAGTTATGTTATTGAGTATTTCGTTGGTTTTATTTTTTGGTGAGTTGTTTTTTTGTTTTGTTGTGATTTTGTGGGTTTTGTTTGTTAGTGGTGTTTTTTTGAGTTGTTATATTTGGTTTTTGGTGTTTTTGTTTTAGTGATGTTTGGTTGTTTGTGGTGGGTGTTTGTTTGTTTTTTTTAGTTTTTGGGTTTGTGTTGTTTTTTGTTTGTTTGTTTTGGTAGTTGATTGTGTGTGTTGTTTGATAGGTGTGTTGTTGTTTTTGTGGTTTTTTTTGTGTTGTTTGTTTTGTGTTTTTTTTGTGTTGGTTTTATTGTTATTTGTTGTTTTGTGTTTATTTTGTTTGTTGGTGTTGTTTTTTTTGTTTTTTTTTTTGTTGTTTTTGTGTTGTGTTGTTTGGGTTTGTTTTGTTGGTTGTTGTTTTATGTTTTTATTTGTTTGTGTTTTTGTGTTTGTTTTGTTTGTTTTATTTTGGTAGATTAGTATTTTTGTATGTGTTTTTTGAGTGATGTATGTTGTTTTGGTGTATTTTTTAATTTGATTAGTGTTTATGTTATGTTTTTGTTCTGTGTTTTTGTGTATGTGTTGTTTTGATTATTGTGTTATGTTATTTTAAATTATTGAAATGTTTAGTAGAATTATGATGTTTTGATGTGATTTATAAATATTATAATTTAAAATAAGATAATATTATAATATAGAATAAAAATACAGTAGAAATTATATAATTAAAAATTAAAAAAAAGTAGATATAAAAATAAAAGTATGAATAAAATAATGAACTAAAAAAATAAATAATGAAATAAATAGAAATGAATATATAATATAAAATAATGAGATAAAAATTAATATTAGATAAAAAAATATAAATAATGATAGATAAAAAGTAATAAATAAAAGAAATGAAAATATAAAAAATAAAAAAATAAATATATTTAAGAATATAAAATATAGAAACAAGGAAAAAAAAAATTTTATAAAAAATTATAAACGGAGCCAGGAGCGGCTGCTCTCGTGGAAGGAGCGTGAGTTGACCAGACGTGGGAATGTGGGGCACCCCTCTCCTCTCCAGTAGAGCGTCAGGCAGGGAGTTTATCTTCCGAATTGAAATAAAAGATAAAAGCTGGCAGAGCAGAGCGTACATCAAAGGAGAAACAAAAGGGACAGCAGAAAGGGGACACACGACAGAAGCCAGGCGGGCGTCCCCCAGAGCCGGAGCCACGGGGCTTTCTGTGCATGCCCAGGAAACACCGCCCTAGCTGCCAGCCCAGTGCTGCTTCTGGATGGCGGCTGGCAGGGGTAGCTGGGGGGCGGGTACGGACACAGCAGAGTCCAGGCGGAGCGTGGGGACAGACGCGCATCTGTACCCGAGAAGCTGCACAGCCGGGCAGCGTAGCACCCAGGTGCATGCGGCCGTCTGGCCCCGGGAGGGGGAGTGAGGGGGGGGCCTGGAGGTGAATCCCCGTCTCTCTGTCCCTCCTGAGACACAGCTGCGTGTGTCCCAGAGGCTGCCACCGAGGAGCTGCTCTGGGCGGGGGGTGTGAGGGCGCCTGGCCTGCTGGCCCCGGGCCGGTGCACAAGCACCTGCGTCTGCCCTCCGGACATGCTCGCTCCTTGTGGGCGGGCTCTGTGCCACAGGCATGCTGCGGAAATGCGGTGTCGCTGGCCACTGCCCAGTGGAGTCACTGCCCGGTAAAGGAAGAGGCTCACGTGCAGACGCCACCCATGGCGCTAATAGTAATGCCACCGGTCAGGAAGGACCCGTGGCCGGGTGCCCAGGGCCCGGATGTTTGGGGGGGACTTGGGGGGCTGACCCTGCTCACTCCCCCCCCACAGTCCAGCCTCCGAAGCTCACCCTGTGCCCAGTGGGGCCCCAGCAGTGCCTGGAGCAGCCGGCGTTCAAGCTGGAACAGCCTGGGCCGCGCCCCCAGCCTCAAGCGCCGGAGCCAGTGCGGGGAGCGTGAGTCTCTGCTGTCCGGGGAGGGCAAGGGTAGCACGGACGAGGAGGCCGAGGACGGCAGGCCCAGGGCGGGGGCCTCCCCCGGGACACGCCCTATCCCGCTGCGGTGCGCCGAGTCCCTGGACCCCCGCAGCACGCTGGACCCGCGGCCTCCCCGCCCGGCCGCGCTGGCGCCCGCCAAGTTTCAGGAGTGCAACGGGCAGGTCCTGGCCCTGCCCACGGAGTTCTTCCTGCGCATCGACAGCCACAAGGAGGATCCGGCTGACTTCGATGATGACGTGGAGGACGTGAGTGGAGGCCCAACCCCATGCCTCCCCAAAGCTGACCCTGAGGCAGGGACTCGGGACACCTGACTGATGGGGGGCTCTGCGCCCCATGGGGGAGGGGAGGCCGAGCAGCACCTGACACAGTGGCCTGGCCTTCGCTTGTGCACAGAGAGCCCAGGAGCAGATTCTCCTCAGGGGCCACCTGGCCTCCAGCTGAGGGGTGGTTCTGAGCCGCCAGCAGGGAGACCCTCAGAGGAGCAGGAGGGTGAGGCAGAGGCACCCACTGAGGCCAGAGCAGGGTGTTCTACAGGGTGGGGGTCAGGTGCAGGGGCGTGGGCTCCCAGTGAGGGGCTCTCGGTGCTGGGGTGCGGAGGATGAGGCCTGGGAGCCCAGGGGCTGGCCTGGCCAGGAGGGGCCCTGTGGACCTGCCCCCTCCCTCCCTAGAGTTGCTGCCTGCGTCTGCACAAGGTCCTGGAGCCCTACAAGCCTGCGTGGTGCCGCAGCCGCGAGCCCTGGGCCCTATACCTCTTCTCTCCGCAGAACAGGTGAGAGGCTCACCGGGTAGGGGGGCCTTGGAGCCGACCCAGCCCTCAGCGTCCCCACCCCGATCCTTGCGCCCCCCACCACGTGGAGCATCCCCAGGGGGCTGCCCCCCATCTCACGGCGCCTCCACCCACACCGTCCAGGTTCCGGGTCTCCTGCCAGAAGATCATCGCTCACAAGATGTTCGATCACGTGGTCCTGGTCTTCATCTTCCTCAACTGCATCACCATCGCCCTCGAGAGGCCGGACATCGACCCGGGCAGCACCGTGAGGCTCCCTTCCCGGCCAGGGGGTGGGGGTGTGGGGTTGAGGGGCGCGGCCGGCCGCCCACCACCTGTGCTTGCAGGAGCGCGTCTTCCTCAGCGTGTCCAACTACATCTTCATGGCGATCTTCGTGGCAGAGATGATGGTGAAGGTACCTGCAGGCCTGGGAGGACGCCGTCCCGCCCAGCAGCTTACCCACCCACCCCCCATACCTGGCTATGCTGCCCCCCCACCTGGGCTCCTCCTCTGCGCTCCCAGGTGGTGGCCCTGGGCCTGGTCTCTGGTGACCACGCCTACCTGCAGAGCACCTGGAACGTGCTGGACGGGCTGCTGGTGCTGGTGTCCCTGGTCGACATCATCGTGGCCATGGCTTCGGCCGGGGGTGCCAAGATCCTGGGCATCCTGCGTGTGCTGCGCTTGCTGCGGACCCTGCGGCCCCTGAGGTGGGCGGGGCCTGCGGGTCGGTGGGGCGGGGCTAGTGGGCAGGGGCGGGGCCATTGGCCCAGTGGGCGGGGCCAGGTGGGTGGTGCGAGACTGAAGTGGGCGGGGGCAGCGGCCCAGTGGGGGCGGGGCCAGTGGGCAGGATGTGCCAGGTGGGCGGGGCCAGTGGGTGGTGCAAGGTCGAGTAGGCGGGGCCAGTGCCCCGGTGGGCGGGGGCCATCGGGTGGGGTGGGGCCAGGTAGGCGGGGCGATGCTGGAGTGGGCGGGGCCGATGGGGCGGCAGGGCGGGGCCAGACGCGGGCTGCAGTCAGGAGGCAGAAGGGGGTGGGGGGCCTGGCAGCCAGATCAGGGTCCGGCCGCACGTGCAGGGTCATCAGCCGCGCTCCGGGCCTCAAGCTGGTGGTGGAGACTCTGATATCGTCACTGAGGCCCATCGGGAACATCGTCCTCATCTGCTGCGCTTTCTTCATCATCTTCGGCATCCTGGGGGTACAGGTGCGCGCCCTGCTTGCCCGCGGGGGCCCGGCTGTGGCCGGTGGTCTGTAGTCAGCAGTCGGTGCCACTGCAGCCTGGAGAGGGTTGTGCGGGGACGGGTCTGGGGGACGGGGGGCGCAGAACCAGCCCCGCGGGGTGACCTCCGCGCTCTGGTTAGCTCTTCAAGGGGAAGTTTTATTACTGCGAAGGCACCGACACCAGGAACATCTCCACCAAGGCCGAGTGCCGGGCGGCGCACTACCGCTGGGTGCGGCGCAAGTACAACTTCGACAACCTGGGCCAGGTGGGCGGGGTGGGTGATCAGGGAGGCAGAAGGAGGGAGGGGGTGGCAGGTGCCCCCCTAGCCTCAGCTCCTCCTGGCCCAGCATGGCTGCGCTGGTCAGGCCTGGAGCTGGAGTGCATGGGCAGTGGGGTGTGGGGTCCCCTGGGTGCCTGGGCTGGGGCAGGGCTGCGGTGACTGTCCTGGATCTGGCCCTGCAGGCTCTGATGTCACTGTTCGTGCTGTCATCCAAGGACGGCTGGGTGAACATCATGTACGACGGGCTGGACGCCGTGGGCATAGACCAGCAGGTATGGGGCGCGGGCAGCCCCGGCCTCCCAGGTGGAGCCCACTGCCCTCTGGGTGGTCTCAGAGCCTCTCCCCAAGGGCTGTTTTCGGCCTCAGCATTTCGAGGCATCTTGGGGGATGATGCGCTGGCCAGCGCCTGGCCCCTCCGCTGATCCTGGAGTGCATGTGCTGTCCTTGGGAGGAGGAGCCGTCAGGAGGACGGGGACCCACGTGCCCCTTGTGTGCCGCAGCCTGTGCCCAACCACAACCCCTGGATGCTGCTCTACTTCATCTCCTTCCTGCTCATCGTCAGCTTCTTTGTCCTCAACATGTTTGTGGGCGTCGTGGTGGAGAACTTCCACAAGTGCCGGCAACACCAGGAAGCCGAGGAGGCGCGGCGGCGGGAGGAGAAGCGGCAGCGGCGCCTGGAGAGAAAACGCAGGAGTAAGGCGCTCCCAGTGGCGGCGGTGGCGGGTCGGTACCAGCGCCCGAGCGGCTGCTTCACCGCGCGAGCCCCGTGCCTGTGGGGTCGGGTCCAGCCAAGAGGCGGCCTCCCGGCCCTGGTCTCCCTCCCACGCCGGGGTGGCGGGCGCCCGGGCAGGACCTCTGCCTCCCGGCCCCTTCCAGGTGGCCCTGCGCGCTGCCCGTCGTGCCCGGGCCTGCCCAGGGGCTGGGGGCCTCCCGAGGAGGGGCCGGGGTAGGGGAGGCAGCGTGGCAGGAGGTGGGGGTCCCCTTCCAAGTGCCACAGGCCGTCAATGAGACCCCCGATTTTCACCATCCATCGCTGTAGGGCAGCATCAACCCGTGAGTTCTCAGACCATGGGAAGAGCAAGCAGAGCCATCAGAGTCAGACAGGGTCTTAGGGATGTCCCAGCCAGCTTGGGGGCGAGCAGGGGGCCTGCTCAGTGTCCCCACCCACCCTGCCCCGTGTGGAGTGTTCTCGCCCCACCCCACCGAGGCCAGCTCAGACCATCTCCTTGTCTTTCCAGGCACTTTCCCCAGCCCAGGTATCTGCCCACCCCCCGCCCTGCATGCCTTAGCGCCCCTGCTTCTGCCAGCCAGTGCATGGGGCTGTGGGCTGGCCCGGCCTCGGTTCCTCCGTGGCTGCCGAAGGGAGGGGTGGACGTGGCAGGCCGCTGCCAGGCCTGCTGGCGCCCGTTACCGGGTGGGCACGGGGTGGGCGCCAGGCGTCGGTGGGAGGGGAGAGGACTTCTTGGCTCACCTGCCAGGTGTGTGCGCCGCTGCTGCCAAGCTTGGGGACGTCCCCCTGTCGGGCTGCATGCATGGCTCCTGCTCTGCTGCATCCTGGGACACCTGCCGGTTTGTGGCTGCTCCGCATCCTCGGCACTGGCCTGAGCTGACTGGCTGCCAGCCTTGGGCTTTGTGAGCTGAGCCAGGCTGTTTAGTGACTGCACGCCAGCCCAGGGGGCATGAGGGCCCCAGGGAGGGCTCGGTTCCCATCAGCCCCTGCTCTCCCAGGCCTCGGGCAGCCAGCCGGGCCAGCCACTGCCTACATGGGGCTCTGGGGCCCGGGTGCATTCCCATGTTTGTGATGGCGGCTGTGCCCTCACCCGCTGGACGTTGACGAGCCCTAAAGGGTTACTGCAGACAGAACATGTAGTGCAGGCAGAGGTTCTGGGGGACGCAGAACCTCCCAGGACACGGTTATCAACCTCAGATGGGCCAGAGGTCCAGCAGGGCCCAGACAACAGGCGGTGGCCACTGGCCCCTCGGCGGACAAGGAGGGGAGACACTCCAGGCCTGGTGACCGGGGGCAGCTCGTGTGTAGACCGAGATGGAGCAGGGGGCGGGCCACTCTGCCCTGCAACAGCTGAGTGGGGGACGGGACTGGCCCTGCCACCAGGAAGGCCTCCATCTGCTTAGTCTTCACCTAACTCCTTGACATGAGCTCAGGAGCGCAGACCACAGGGGCCAGCCTAGGAGCTCCCTGCAGGGTGGGGACCAAACAGGGCCTGGAGTGAGGGGGTCTCAGCCACCAGGCATACTCCTAGGGCCTGCCCCGGGCTCAGGGTCCCCAGAAGACCCGATGGAGACCTGCTCCTGAGACCCCCTCCTGCCCCAGACTCCCGCAGGGGCCAGAGGCCCAGGGAGCCACTTCTTACCTCCCTTCCTCCCTTCCTGGGAGAAATTCATTCCTCCAGGCTCATGCAAACGCCCTGTGCCTGAGCCCAGGGCCCTCCCCCTGCGGTCCCCACGCTGCAGCCCCTTGGCAGACCACCAGGGACGTCCCAGTGCCACGAGGGCGCCGGCAACGCCCCGCACCAGCTCACGGTCACCCTCTCCCTGCAGAGGCCCAGCGCCGGCCCTACTACGCCGACTACTCACCCACCCGCCGCTCCATCCACTCGCTGTGCACCAGCCACTACCTTGACCTCTTCATCACCTTTATCATTGGCGTCAACGTCATCACCATGTCCATGGAACACTACAACCAGCCCAAGGTGGGGCTCGGTGCCTGGAGATGCCCGCCCTCCCTGCCTCCAGGACGGGTGGCGGGGACACAAGCCCCAGGAGGGCCATAGGTGGGGTCTGGCACTCAGCGGGGTGGCCTGAATCAGAGCTGGGGGCTCCCGGGTCTGCAGCCTGGTCCGAGCCCTCACTGGGGTTTGCAGGGTGCAGAGATGTGGTTTGAGCAGGGAGTCCTTTTTTTAAAACTGATTGAAACTCCCAGGGCCGCCCGCCCCGGAGGGCCCCCCCATACACACACAGCGGTTCAGCCTGGAAACACAGACTGTGGGAACGTCCGTGGGTCTGGCTGCCCAGGAGCGCGCGGGGCAGGAGACGGCCGGGGGGAAGGTGGTCAGCTTTTTATTTGTCCCGTTATGCCTGTGTCTCCATCAGTTTTTGACGAAGGGGCACCCCTTCTCCCCTACAGTGGAAGGGAGTGTCTCAGGGTAACAGCCTTCAGACCTGAGCTGCTCAGCCGGGCCAGGGGTCTGGGCGGGGCAGACGCCCCCCCACCCGAGGGTGCCTCTGGGCCCCGCCTGGCGACCTGGCACGGCCCTGCGTGTAGCAGGAGTCCTGTCCCGCCGAGGTGGGGCGCATAGGGGAGAGGCGGGCGGGCTGGCAGCGTCCGCAGCCTGATGCTCTGCTCGCAGTCGCTGGATGAGGCTCTCAAGTACTGCAACTATGTGTTCACCATCGTCTTCGTGTTTGAGGCCGTGCTGAAGCTCGTGGCTTTTGGGTTCCGGAGGTTCTTCAAGGACAGGTGTGTGGGGCGGGCCCCGGAGCCTGGAGGACCCTCAGGCTGGGTCTCCCCCGCCAGCCTCAGGCCCTGCCTGAGGCCTGAGAGGGGGGTCGCCACTGGGTCGCCGTGTGGGATGTGCCGGGGGCGCGAGGAGGCGCTGAGCCCGCCACCCACCCGCCGCAGGTGGAACCAGCTAGACCTGGCCATCGTGCTGCTGTCCATCATGGGCATCACGCTGGAGGAGATCGAGATGAACGCGGCTCTGCCCATCAATCCCACCATCATCCGCATCATGCGCGTGCTCCGCATTGCTCGAGGTAGGTGCCCGCCTGTGCTTCCCCGGACCCCGTCCTTCCTCGGCTCCCCCCGTGGCTTCCACTGGGGGACCGTGCGGGGATGGGAGCGAGAGGGTCAGGCGGCCCCTGCTGATGCTCAGCTTCTGGCCTTAGTTCTGAAGCTGCTCAAGATGGCCACAGGCATGCGGGCCCTGCTGGACACGGTGGTTCAAGCCCTGCCGCAGGTAGGTCAGCACCCCAGGGCTGAGGGGGCCGCCGCAGATGCCCCCGGAGCACTTGGTCACCCACTTGCATACCCCGCCGTCTTGCCAAAACCACGGTAATCAGTCTGCGCGTGCGGGGAGTCCCTCGGCTGTGCCACGGAGAGTAGGGCCGGGTGCCCGGGGAGGGCTGGAACCAGTGCCCCCCCCAGTCCAGTTCCGGAGGCAGTGGGCAGAGGAGGCCGCCCACAGGGGTCGTGTGAGTTCAGGGGCTCACCGCTGGGCATCCCGTGTGGCCGCAGGCCCCGCGTCTGCCTCCCCATGCTTACGGCCCCAACTCCAACCCTCTGTGTCCTCTTCAGCTGAAGGAGACTCACGGTCCCCCTGTGCTGTGCCTATTCCCTCTGCCAACACCCCCCTTGCTATCCGTCCATCCCCCCAACCCCGTGTCCACCTGTCTGTACACCCAGCGCTCCTAGCCCAGCACATTCCTGTCCAGGAGCTCGCTCACCACCACCCCCAGCAGCCCCTGTAGCTCGTGTTGGGGTGATGGGGATGAGTAGACAGGTGCTGGGAGGCCTGAGAAGTCAGGGTGGCCTGAGCAGTGCTGGCAGGATGTGCTGCCAACGAGCGGGGCGTGGGCGGGGGTCCCTGAGGCTAGGGACCTGGGTCCAGGGGCAGGGCGGGGGTCAGAGCCTGATGAGGGGCTTGGGCAGTGGGACAGGAGCCCCTGGGGGCCCCAGAGCTCCAGGGCCGGGAGCGGTGGGTCAGGGACAGGCCCGAGGGCAGCCTCCCGGAGGCTGGCCGGCGGGGGGTGACGGGGGGGGGCAGCGGCGGCCCCTGACCTCGCTCTGCTTCTTCTCCCGTGTAGGTAGGGAACCTCGGCCTGCTTTTCATGCTCCTGTTTTTTATCTATGCTGCCTTGGGGGTGGAGCTGTTCGGGAGGCTTGGTGAGTTTGCGCAGCCTCGCCCACACGCACGAGGCTCTTGGGCCCCAGGGAGACACGGGCCCCGGCCAGGCAGACGGGCTGCACACCTCGGGCCTTGGCGTCACCCGGCCCCGACAGCCCTGCCCAGCACATAGCGTGGACACTCACGGCGGCCAGAAGCACGATGCCTGACGTGGGACACGCGGGCACACACACACGGGTTCAGGCCAGCCGGGGGGACAGCCACACGTGAGCACGGGAAGTACACACACAAGCACACGTGTGTCCCTGAGCTCGTGAGGCCCCCGGGCACCCTAACTGCCACACATCCCTTCTTGTCACCGTCTCCCTCGTCCCTCAGGCCCGAGGCTCTGGCCCGCGTGTGCAGGAGCAGGTGGGGACTTCATGTGACAGCCCAGTCCTGGTGGGCTCCCCTGAGCACCAGAGAGAACTGGGGTGGCTTCAGGAGTCCCCAGCGTGGGCCTGTCCTGGAGGGGGCGTCCCAGCTCAGGTCCACCCCGAGGGCCTCCTGGGCCTCAGCAGCAGGTGCCTGTGACCCCAGGCCTGACGAGTCCTGGCCCTGGGGCCAGAGTGCAGGGTGCCTCCCGCTCCAGGGCAGCCCTGACCTGCCGCTGAGCCCGAGGGCGTGTGGACCCACAGGCAGGCCTGGGCCACGTGGGAGCCATCTGCTGGGGCTTGGCCGGTGCGCCAATGGAGCCGTGTCCACCTCAGTCCCAGGGCTGAGGGCCGGGCTCTGGGCTGTGCCCAGAGGCAGCCTCCGCAGCCAGAGAGGAGCAGTCCTGCCCCCACCCCCACCCCATCCTGAAAGGACGCGTCCCCGTAGAGGCCAGGCCCCCAAACTACCCAACACGGCACCATCTCCTCCCCGGGAGCGCAGGGCCCGTGTGGGTCAGCGGGGTCCCTGCGTGTGGGCTAACCAGGCGAGAGTCTCCCTGGCAGAGTGCAGTGAGGACAACCCCTGCGAGGGCCTCAGCCGGCACGCCACCTTCTCCAACTTTGGCATGGCCTTCCTCACGCTGTTCCGCGTGTCCACGGGGGACAACTGGAACGGGATCATGAAGGTAGCGGCCCCGGGAGGGGGCACCACCCGGGCGGAGGGGGGCACCTGGTATAGGGTGGGGGGAGGGGGCAGGGTGCCCCGTATGGGGGGAGGGAGGGGGGAGAGGCGCCCCAGCACCGTGCTCCAGCCGCCGCCCCCCCCACCCCCCCCGCCCAGGACACGCTGCGGGAATGTGCCCGGGAGGACAAGCACTGCCTCAGCTACCTGCCCGCCATCTCCCCCATCTACTTCGTCACCTTCGTGCTGGTGGCCCAGTTCGTGCTGGTCAACGTGGTGGTGGCCGTGCTCATGAAGCACCTGGAGGAGAGCAACAAGGAGGCCCGTGAGGACGCCGAGCTGGATGCCGAGCTGGAACTGGAAGTGGCGCAGGGCCCCCCCGCCTGCCCCAGACCCGAGGCCCCGCCGAGCCCAGACACCCCTGGCCTCCTGGTTGTGCGCAAGGTGTCCGTGTCCAGGATGCTGTCCCTGCCTAACGACAGCTACATGTTCCGGCCCGTGGCGCCCGCCTCGGCCCCGCACCCCCGCCCACTGCGGGAAGCGGACGCGGAGACGTGCTCAGGTACAGCCGCCTCCGGTACGGGTCCTCGGGGCTGGGGCTGTGGGGGGGGGGGCAGGCAGGCCTCGGGTGGGGGGATGGCAGCTGCAGGGCGCTCGCTTTCCTGCCCAGACCCGGTGACCTCTGCGCATTCCCCGCCCGTGGAGTCCTGCACGTCTCTCCAGGTCCCCTCTGCGGCCACGCTCTCCCCAGCCAGGGACAGCGACAGCCTCCGTGCCCTGTCCCCTCGAGGCGCAGCCCGCTCCCCCAGCCTCTGCTGGCTGCTCTACAGACAGGTAGGAGAAGCGCCCGGCCCTGCAGCCCAGGCCTGGGGGCCCCCTGGGGCTTCCTGAGCACCTGCCCCCCGGATGGGGCTGGGGCAGAGTCCCCACCAGTGGCTCCCAGCTGCGTCTCGGCCTGCTCCGCGGCCTACCTGGGGAGGGGCTTCCCAGCCGTCTTCTTCATAGGATCCCGGGTCATCCCTGCAGGAGCCCACGCTCGCCGACTCTCTGGAAGGGCACACGGACGGCCCCAAGGACGGCGGCCCAGGCTGGGGGGAGCCTGGTGGGAAGACCCCAATGAGGCAGGCATCCCTGGGGGCCTCCCTACGGTCCCCGCCCCGCTCCCCGCGGCCCGCCAGCATCCGCACTCGCAAGCACACCTGCGGGCAGCGCTGCGTCTCCAGCAGGGCCCCGGCCCCCAGCGGGGAGGAGGCCGAGACCCTGGATCCTGCTGATGAGGAGGTCAGCCACATCACCAGCTCGGCCCGAAGCCCCTCCGCTTCGCCCACTGCCCGAGGCCTGGGGGCCGGCGACCCCGACCTGCGCAGGTTCTACGGCGTGGATGCTCAGGGCTTCCTGGACCCGCCCGGCCAGGCCGAGGAGCAGAGGCGGCCCTCCGGGGAGCTGGGGGGAGGGGACGCCCACGTGGAGACCAGGGAGGTGAAGGGCCGCGCCCCAGAGGCTGAGCCAGCCTTGGGGGCACGCAGGAAAAAGAAGATGAGCCCCCCCTGCATCTCCGTTGAGCCCCCTGGGGAGGACGAGGGTGCGGCCCGGCCCCCGGCGGCAGAGGGCAGCACCACCACTCTGCGGCGGCGAACCCCTTCCTGCGAGGCCCCGCCGCACAGGGACTCCCTGGAGCCCATGGAGGGGGCCGGGGTGGATCCTGCCGCCAAGGGCGACCGGCGGGCCCAGGCCCCCTGCCGCGCGGAACACCTGACCATACCCAACTTCACCTTTGAGCCGCCGGACAAGGGGGGCCCTGGCGGAGACCTGTTTTTGGATGGTGTTCACGGCGTGGCCCCAGAACCCAGAGCTTCCTTTTCGGGGGCCACGGCGCCTCCTGAACCCCATAAAATGGAGCCTCTCGTGCCCTCCAGTGACCCCACAGAGAAAGGACGGGGGCTGCACCTCAGAGTCCTCCAGAGCCCCCCAAAGAAAGCAGGGTCTCCCTCAGCCAGCCCCGCCCCAGGTGACCGTGTGGACAGGCCAGTGTAGCTCAGGGCGTAGTGCTGCAGGTTTCGGTAGCGGGGCTGGGGTGCACCCAGCGGGGTGACGGCCCAGGCAGGGCTGCGTGTGGACCCCAGCTCCGGGCCCGGCACGGAGGAGAAGCGGGGAGCCGCCCGGGGAGGGAGGCAGACGCGGGGTCTGGGCGAAACAGAGTGGAGACATGCCCCTCGGCCTGCAAGCCTATGTCCAGCCTACATCCGGTGGATTCAGGTTTGGGTTTTTCCAAGTTTCGCCACCATGGTCTGTGGCCATGCCCGCACCTGGTCAGCGGTCCCCCGACAGCAGCTGCGTCCCCGCCACGAAGACCAGGAAGACCGGAAGGAGGAAGTCCGAGGCTGCCCAGCAGAGCCCCATTCTCACGCCCGCTTTTCTAAGGAACACGTGCTTGGGGCCACCTGTGCCCTCCCGGGTGGCGGCCTCACCCCAAGGCCGCCACCGCCACGCTCACGTCACTCACTCCTCACCTGTCTGCCCCCCCACACTCTTCGTCACCGTCTCGGCCCCCCGCGGGCCCACGCCCCACTGTTCTGCCCTTGGTATTCCAGAAACGCCCGCGCCGCGGGGGAGTGGGGTCCCTGCAATAAGCCCCCCCCGCTGCCGGCGGCCCCTCGCGGGCCAGGTGAGCAGTGTCCGCAGACGCCCCTGAGTTCCGTGTACGTTTTATTAATTCAGGTTAAACGTTGCAATAATCTGATAATGGGAAATCCGGCTTCTTAAGGGAGGGGGAAGCAGGGGTGGGGGGCAAAGCAAAACGGAATAAATGTTAACTTATTTAAGAAACGCATTGGATGAGTGGCGGCAGGGGGGTGGGACCCCGCGTGGTGGCCGGAGAGCGGGGCTGGGGGAGTGTTCCCGGGACTCCCAGCAGGAGTGGTGCGGGGGGCAGAGCGGGGGCCCGCGGGGACAGCTGCTGAGACGGGACCGTCCACCTGGGGCTCTGGGGGGTGCCCCCCATCCCCGTGCCTCTGCTCTGACCCTGGCAGGGGCCTCGGGGCCACTCATCTCAGCCCCAGCCTCCCCCTACTCCCTCTGGGCCCACAGTGCCCCTGGGACCGGGCCGGACTGTCCATGAGGGGCTCTGGCTCCACGAATGGCAGGGAAAGTGACCCCAGCCCCTCACCGGGTCTGTGACGTGTGCCCTGCGGGGCTGGGGGGCTGCCCTGTGCCCTGCGAGGCCGCGGCCAGGGGTGGCCCATATGCTGCTGTGCAGGAGGGGCAGGGAGGAGGGGCTGAGGGTCGGGCTGTGTGGGTGTCACCTCCCCCTGCCTCCCATGCTTGCTGCCAACTGACACTGCAGACCCAAGGAGACCTGTGGTTCTCCAGTGGGGGGCAGGGACGGTGCCCCCTCTTCCAGGAAGCCCTCCCCGGGTTCCCGTAGCCCTCACCACACATCAGATGGGCACTGCTCCCAGCTGCCCAGCTTATGGCTGCCTCTTCCTAACCGTCCTCTGTGTGACCAGGGCCTCATGACCCAGCTGATTAGGGGCCCTGGGAGGGGCTGGCCTTGCCTGCACTTGACCCCCTGGCTCCCTGTCCGGCTCCAAATCACAGGCCAGGTGGGAGGAGTCCCCCCCTTAGATGTGGGGAAACCAAGGCCCGGGTGGCTGCCTGGCAATCCAGCTGGATGTGGCTTCTCAGGGCTCAGAAGCCCCCCCCCCCCAGCACCTGTGTGGAGCGTGGCCGGTAACTGTCCTGCTGGAGGACGGTGGCAGCGGCACCGGCTCTGGGCCTGCGCTGAGCCCACGCTGGCCGCACGGCTGGGGGGGCAGCAGAGTTCCGCCCAGGCCGCCCCTCCTGGAGCCCGGGTGCCTGATGTCACCCACCCCGGGGGGCAGGGCAGGGGAGGAGTCCCGTGCCGCCCCGTGTCCCCACAGCCGGGACTTCAGGCCCTCGCCCACCTGGCTCCATCCTCCACCTGTGGGGACCCTTCTCCCCGCCCAGGCACCCGCACTCAGCTCCCGGGGGCTGACCCGTCACCTGGACAACGTGGTGGCTTCCCCGGAGGACCAGGCCAGCCTGCTGGAGGCCTTGATCCCAGGGCCCCTCTGGTCAGCCCGTTCCCCCCAGAGGGGCCTGAGCTCCCCGATGGGAGGCTGTGCCCATTGTCCTCACCTGCCGCTGGCCAACCTGGGCTGCGTTCCTTGGCTCCCGGGGCATCGAGGGGCAGCAGGGGGTCCGCCTCCCCCCTCGGGGAACCCGGGGCTTCCCTTCGGAATCTCCTCCCTTGGCCGGTCCCCACACAACCAGGTGGTAAGAAGGCCTAAGTGTCAGGGCGCCTGGGGGCGCGTTCAGCTGGGCACCCTCTCTTTTTTTTTTATTATTTTTTATTTTTATTTTTTATGATAGTCACACAGAGAGAAAGAGAGGCAGAGACACAGGCAGAGGGAGAAGCAGGCTCCATGCACCGGGAACCTGACGTGGGATTCGATCCTGGGTCTCCAGGATCGCGCCCTGGGCCAAAGGCAGGCGCCAAACCGGTGCGCCACCCAGGGATCCCTGGGCACCCTCTCTTGGTTCTGACTCCGGTGGTGATCTCAGGGTTGTGAGATCGAGTCCCGCGTCAGGCTCTGCGCTCAGTGGGGAGTCTCTCTCCCTCCCCCCCTTCTCATGCTCGCTCACTCTCTCTCAAATACGTAAATGTTTTTTTTAAACCCTGTAAGTGGGGAACCCTGGGTGGCGCAGCGGTTTGGCGCCTACCTTTGGCCCAGGGCGCGATCCTGGAGACCTGGGATTGAATCCCACATCGGGCTCCCAGTGTATGGAGCCTGCTTCTCCCTCTGCCTATGTCTCTGCCTCTCTCTCTCTCTCTCTCTCTCTCTCTCTCTGTGACTATCATAAAAAAATAATAATAAAAAAAATAAAACCCTGTAAGTGTATGTCCTTGAGGCTGGGGATGGAGGGAGGCAGCCCTGTGGGCGGTGGCCTGACCCTGAGGGGGCGAGGCGGGAGGAAGGAGGGAGGTGCCCGGTTCTCCTTCATGGGCTTAGGTTGCGCAGGTATCACGGCCGTAGTTCAATAAATGGAAGCTGAAACGGGAAAAGGAGGAGGGTGGGCACCTCTGTCCCTGCTGCTCCACCGGAGTGAGGGCTCTGTGGGCATCAGACCAAGCGGCCCGGGCCCCACGGCCTGCCTGTGACGGGGATGGCTCCTGGCCCCCCTCCGTCCCCGCCCCCCACACCCCCCGGGCGGCTGCAGGAACAGTCAGCGGCTGGAGGAGGACCCTGGTGGATCATTCCAGGGGCTCCCCTAAGGACAGAGATGGTTCCCAGAGCCTTGGTAGATTAAATGTGGATCTTTGCATCTGACGACTGGGAGGGGAGAGGGGAAGATGGATCTAGAAAGCTCTTCCTGGCCTGAAGAGCCCAGAAACTCCCCCTAAGACGGTGTTGCTCTGGTTGTCGGTAGGTTCATGCATGAGACCGTGTGCACAGAGCAGGGGGCCCAGCAGGACGCCCTTCCAGTGACCAAAGTTAGCACCCTGCTTTACGGAAGGACCCGCGGATGAACGGAGACTCTGCTGCTGGGGACGCTTTGCGCCCAGAGACCCTCACTCCCGGGGCCTGGAGGGTAGGGCGGGCCGGGGGGTGGGAGTCCGCGTGGGGCAGGAGCCCCGGCTCCACGAGGAGGGCCACACCACGGCTGCCAGGAACCTGAGTTCGTGTGGACAAGGGCCCTGAAGTGCAACAGCTCCGCAGGGGGCTCCTCTCCTCAAACCTCAGAAACTGAACACTTGCTGAGGCGCCACCGCCCATCGCCCGTCAGAACAAGGACTGCAGGGCGGGGTAGAAAGGGCTCTCTCCCCACTGCGGGCAGCTGCGGGCAGCTGCGGGCAGCCCTGTGCACAGCCTCGCCTGCACAGTGGAGGACGTGTGCAGCCCGGACCTCAGCAGCGCCCCCAGCACACGCCGCGGACACGGGAACGGCCGCGGCCACCTGGTCCTGAGGCCCTGAAGGCGGGCAGCCCGGGGGGGGCCCCGTGGCCACGGGACAACAGGCTCAGGCAGGAGCAGCGCAACCCTGACACACACTGCCGTGGGGGGGGGGGGAGGGAGCAAGGCTCCAGGGGGACCACACCTGATTACACTCAGCCAGGGTGAGCCTGAGGCCAAACGCAACCACATGGGTGCGCAGTGTCAGCGCGGAGGGGGTGGGGGCATAGGGGTCATGCCCCATCTGAACCCTGTCACCATCACCATTGCTGCCTCTGTCCCAAATGCTTGTCACTCAAGAGACACAAGCCATGAGCTGAGAACTGGCCCCGGTCCCAGGGGCTGGGCAGGGGGCGCCTCAGCAACACCACCCACCCTGTGCTCGGGGCCTGGGGCCCCTGTGACGGTGCCTGGACCCCTCCCCTCTGCCCTGTGACCCGCATAGCCAGAGCCAGGCGACAACCACGTCTGCTTCCATGCACTTTAATGAGGGTGGGCGCCCACGGCGGGCTCCGGGGACAGGGGGAGAAGAAGGGTGGTGCCCGGGCTGGGGGGCAGGGGTGAGGCGCCGTGGAGGCTGGCTTCCCCACCAACCCGGGCGGCCCGGGGGCTGGGCTCAGGGCTCCTTGGGGACGTACTGGTGGATCCAGTCCAGGTAGTAGGCGACCCGGGTGTAGATGCCAGGCCTGTTGGGCTGAGCGCAGCCTTCTCCCCAGCTGACCACGCCCGCCTGCAGCCAGACGCCCCTCACCCTGCAGACCAGCGGCCCTCCAGAGTCACCCTGGGGAGCAGGAGGGTCAGGGCGGCTGGGGCCCGGGCGGCGGGGGCCGGGGCAGGGCGGGGGTGCCCACCTGGCAGGAGTCGCTCTTGCTGTTGCCAGCGCACAGCATGTCCTCACGGACGATCCGTACGCCGTCCCCCGTGCTGAGGCCCAGGTGGTATTGCACATCACACATACTGTTCTCCACGATGGGGACCTTGACCTGCTTCAGGGGGAAGGGCGGCGGCAGAGGCGCTGCGGGGAGAGGCGGGTGGTGCATCAGGAGGGGAGCCGACCTGGCCTAGCCGTCCAGGGGCTCCTAGAGGGGGTCGGCTCACCCCGCCCTCCGGCCGCCCCTCACACTCACTTCCACTGTGCACGTCACCCCAGCCCGTCACCCAGCACAGTGTCCCCATGGGGAAGGTCTGTAAGGCGGGTGGCAGGGTGACCGGCTGGACGTGGGCGGAGACGTTCACAGGGTCCTCGAGCTCCAGCAGGGCGATGTCCGCCCCGTTCTCGGGTGTGTAGTAGTTGGGGTGCATGACGATCCGGTTGACGGGCAGCAGGTGGTCCTGGTAGTAGAGGTGCTGCTCCCTAAGCTGAACCCTGATTTCTTCAGGACACACAACGTTCCTGGAGAGAGAGAGGCGCCCACTCAGGGGGCTGAGCAGGCCGCTGGAGCCCCCGCCCCCCCACAGCACCCTCACCCAGCCCCCGCCAGGCCACTCACGGTCCCACACAGTGGGCAGCGGTCAGCACCCACTGCGGGTGGATGAGGGAGCCCCCGCAGATGTGCCTCCAGTACTGGCCTTTGAGTCTCAGGCTCACCTGCCAGGGCCACTTGCTCCCAGGGGCCTCCCGCCCCCCTACGATGCCCACTCGCTGCAGCGCCTGGCCGGGAGCTGGGGGTGAAGCGCCGTTAGGACAGACGCAGCCTGGCCCGGGCTCGGCCACCCCCTGCGCTTCCCCGAACCAAGCCCCCCAATCATCACTGGGCGTGTGGGAAGAGGGGGCA